CAATCCTTCTTGCAAACGAAGCAATTCTATCATATCTCATGAAATGAGATACTGTGAATATAGAGATCGTGGATATACTGGAGAAGACTGGATGTACTGTGTTCAGCTGCTTCTGCTTTCATTAATGCTGAATGCCATCTGAAGCACAAGGGTGTGCACGCTCTCTCACACACACACACGAAAGGACATACGACCCACAAGGGACTAAAGCAGTATCTGTTACATTTAACAGGAGATAGGTTTGTTTCCGAGAGACTCTTAAAGGTTTCCGAAGTAGATTTCCTGCCTCCAGAGATAAAACCTCACCTATGTTGTGGCTTGATGACACTACATTGGCATGAGCAGGGCTTGCAACAAAAATGGTTGGAGCTACTTAAAGGGATATGATTGCAACCATTGCTGATTATAGCTGAAACATTTTCTGCATCACACAGAAGTATGACATTCAAACACATTCCACAGTGTCCATAAAATTATCCAACTAGTTACCAAAACAAAACAAAACCCTACAATATCCCCTTTGGTCAATATAAAGTGAACACCTGCATTCACAAGTCAATGCTTCTTACAGAAGCACCATCACAAAGCTTCCACCAGAAAGTGAAACATCGGTCTATCTCTGTGCAGCAACAGAAAATACTGAATGCCTTGAAATATTTTTATTTCCTCATCATGGTCAAGAAATATTGAATGGCAGTATTGTTTTATATTTGGGAGGCATAAGCATCTGCAAACATGCATTACCTAATATCCAGAGGTTTGGTAAGAATAGACGATTGAGAGTTGTTATTGAAAAGTACTGCAGGGTGGATTCCTAGGAAAGAAATGTCCTACAGTTGTCCTTTTCAGATTTTTAGGACATCCGTTGGGACAACTGTAGTATTCTAAGAAAGAATTAGAACCAATACTCAGTGTTAAAAAGAGACAGCTTATGAGACATAGGTGTAGGTTATATCATTATTGATATTCAAAATTGAATCATAAGATAATTTAAAGTCCACATATTTGCATACTGACCAATTGACTTGCCTACATAAAGTGACTTTAATAGGACAAGAGATACTTCACCCACACTTGGGGTCTCCAGGATGGTTCAGGCACCATGATGCTTCTGGGTACCTCTCTTGGGTGTCCCCCAGACTCCCCACCCCTCTGGATTTTCATTTTATTTCTTAATATGTTTAACTGGAAGTTTGCCATGTTGCAAAGCAAAGTGCTTCTCACCAACACCAGTTTTGTTATCATTATATGCCTTCAAGTTGTCTCCAACTTATGGCAATCCTATGATTAAAAGACATCCAAAATGTTCTCTCCAAGACAGCTCAATTCTGCTCTTCCAAGTTCAAGGAGGAAGCTTCTTTCTTTATTGGGTTTCAAAAAGTAATTCTGTATTTTTGAGCTCAGACCCTACCTCAGTCTTGTACATACGTTTTTGGCAAAGTTATATTTGTTCCCAGTGTGTCATCTGGGAAATGAATGTTTTTATTAGTCATGCCCACCACTACAGCAGCCATTTTGTGAGAGTGCCCAAGATACTTCAGCATTTCAAATATGTCCACCAATCAGAGAAAGTTGAGGATTCCTGACCTATGCTCATTAAAGATTTTAGTGATTATCTAATTTTCAATTTTAAAAATTGGCTGACAAACCAGCCTTTAAAAGTATCACACACCTGCATTTATTTATTTATGTATTTATTTAAAGTTTTCCTATGCCATCCCATTACTAAAAAGTCTTTGGACAGCTTACAAAGTATGGGACGGCTTACATAAGACTAATAGTTATAATAAACCATGTTTTATCACAATAGGGCCAATCCCAGCTTCCAGCTGAGCTTGCGTATTCCCCTTTTGTTTCTCTTCCTCTCATATGGCAGAGATTCTGGAAGCTTCAACTTCTATAGTTTATTAAGCATGGATTAGCATGATGTCTGAATAAACTATGGTAATTTTAACTATAGTTTACTAAAACAAACCAGCTTCATAACCAGTGGTTTGAAGGTAAGTATGGTATGCTGGGCAGAAAACTAAATCCAGTAACAGTACCCACAATGACAAAATGTAGCTAATCAAAAGCTGAAGTGGAAGCTTCTAATCACCTCCTCATGGATACACTGGAGGAAAGGCATATGAATCTAAGTGAGGCTAAGTTCATTCCCATCACGATAAGCAACGGCTTCATGTGATAACCCAATGCAGGCTAAATCTCCAATTCACAGAAACCATGGTAGGCTTCTATATTTCTTGGCCTATATTAGCTACCTTCCACTGTCTAAATGGAACCCATGTCTGCAATTTTCAATGTCAGTTTTTTTTTAGCTGGGTTCTCCAATATGGATCTCAGAGACAGTCTATTTTTATTTTAAAATTTTGTATGATAATAAAATTGTAGGTGTCCAGTGAAAGGACAACTGAACAGCTTCATGAAAGAGTAAAATGCAGCAGGATATCTGCTGTTTCAGTTACCATGTTTTCACTTAACCATGGTTGACCTCGGTCCTAAAGAAAAGTCGTAAAGTGCCAAAGAGAAATCACAAAGTGCTTCCTTTAAGTGAAAATTCTTGACTTAAAAGGGAAAGAAAAAAAATCATATGCAGAGGTTGCTAGGATGAAATTGTGAAAGAAGAAATGTAAAGGTACAATATATCATGTTCACCACTGTCTGTGGTTACAGGCATCTGCTGGGGGGCTTGGAACCCATCCCCGCTGATATGCGGGTCCTGCTGTGTTACAAGAAAAGAGCAACTGCCCCTACACCAAAGCATTTTGACTGGGCATAAGTAGCAGATAGAATAATCCTGTTTGGTGACAGAAAAGAAACAATAGTCAACTTCTAAGCAGCCCAAGTAGCTAATATATCCAAGATGTTATTTATAGTGATAGTCAGGAATCGCAAATGAAAACATATGGTTCTTTGTGTCAGTCATTCTTCTCTTATCATGCTAGCCAGTTGTGAAGGTTGCTCCACTGGTATAAGAGGAAAGTGTATGTTACGCCAACATCAAAACAAGACAAATCTGAATTCAGTGGCATTTGGGTGGTTTTAAAACGATTAAGCAGCACTGGGAGAAGTCACTTTTACCAACAGTTCATGAATCCAGAGGTCCTAAGCTTCCTGCAGACAGATGAGCAATCCTTTCTTCCATACTACAGAAGTCTCTGGCAAAGCTTTAAAAAAGCCAACACCATTTGTTCTAGCTGACTGAGCCAAATGTCTTAGCATCAGTTCTATGCAGGGCCTTTCAGATTTCTCCATATCCTAGCTTCAGTGTTTGGTAGCTCAGGTATTATGGCATCTGAGGGCTTTTTGCAGCTCTTGGGTGGAAAATAAACATCTAATCCAAGTAGAAGTATATAACTTTTACCTAATGTCTTTCTATTACGCAGCAGAGGTAGTTATATGCCCTTACCCATAATTTCCTCATTGCTGACCTTTCTAAAAGCATACATGTCATACCAGGAAATAGACCAGGGTATTCTGTTCATGTCATCATTATGTCTTCCTGTATGTTCTATCAGCCAAAATAACAAATAAACATGCTAAGCAATTAACACACAATGCCTACAATATTTTACAGTCTTTGAAGAGTGTCATATTGTATTGATGCACCCATTTCACAGAAGAATAAATGAAGCATTAAAAGCTGGCAGCTAGTTCCTTTAGGCTTATAATAGTCACATACACCAAAAGAAAAGAATATTCCACAGTACGAGACAGTTCAACATGGTTAACATCTTTAGTCCAGCAACTCCCTAGTTAAGGCAACCAAGAAATCTGTCAATTCCACTATCAAACTACAACTTTTGGTGTCCTACAGACTTCAACTAAATTCATGAGGCTGGGAAAAATACTAGTTCCATTTTCTGACCCAAGATCCCATTCTCTGTTTCAACCATCCCAACATAAGGACCAGTGGGGAGCTTACCTATTTGGTGACATGGCTACTAAAACACAAGAGCAAAAGGGAACCATAGTCATCCATATTTGTGACATTCCCAAGCCCTAATTTTGGCCCTGTTTTTCAGATTCTAGAAATTACAGTTATTTCAAACTATGCCAAATTATATTCCACGCCCCATTCCAGGTTAATTTTTGTTTGGCCTATCCAGTCATCATGCCTCTCTGTCTTATCTTCCAGGTCAAGGCCAAATACCTTCACTCCTTGCTCACCAGAGACTGATCCCGAGGTGAAGGGGCCTAGGAAGCAATTCCTTCCACCCTGTGCCTCCTCCTCCACACACCCAGGCCTCTTTTCCTTTCATGACAGTTCTGGCAGCTTGTTCACTTTAGCCCCCACTTCATTTCCGCTCGCAGTTGATTCAGCAGAATCCACTGCTGCAGAATTACCGTTGCATTCTTTTCCATGAGCCTGTCACCACCTGTCTCAAAGCTCTTTTGCCATTTCATTGGACACAGCTTTGGTCTGTCATCCTCATGAGCCATCCAAGGTTTTGGGGGGTGGGGGAGAAGGGAGACTGTCACATCGCCAAGCAGCAGCAAGGTAACACCCCAGAGGAGCAAACTGACATAAGCCCTGCCATGTAAAGCGTCCATTAATTAATTTACACTTCCCTGGGCAATAAACGTAACCAAGAGTGCAAATGCCGATTTCAAGGGAGGCCGCCCGATACCTGGGGAGCGCGGGGGGAGGGGGGGGCTGCTGACACATCAAGGTGTGATCAGGGCCCAAATGAATCGGAGCTGACATCACCCAGAAGGGAAGCGCTCCGGTGCCCGAAGACCTTCGTCCTGATCCACCTGCTGCTCGGGGCCCAAGCCCTGCGTTATGGCGTGTCTTCCCGGCACTGCTTCAAGACGTTTCCCTAAATGCACCGCCGCCGCCCCGCGATTTGCCCTGGGTTTGCTCGTTCAGCAAGCACAACGCCATTCTACTGCAGGGTCCGTGCCTTTGAGTTGAGCTTTGGCAAGGCGCCTCCCCGCAGTGGAATGGGGTTGCTTTGCAATTTTATTTTTTCCTAACCCAGTGGGCCTTCCATTACCTTCTGTTGCATAGCTGTGATCGCGCAGGAAACTGTTGTTTATCTTGCGGGTATCAATGTCCTCCTCCATTGACAGCGGGCTTACTTTTGTGGGAAGTGAGAACAAGCAGGCAAGTATCCATCATCGCCCCACCACGACTGGATCAGCGGAGAGGAGGGAAGGGGAGCTGCATTGAGACCAACATGCTCCTGCCCTGCAAGGAAAAAATAAAACTAAAAAAAAAAAAAAATGCAAGCAAGCAAGCTTTCACCTCCTGCTGCCAGGGACGCTGCAGTCGCAAAGGTCCAAATCCCTTTCTCTTCTTGCCGTTGACGCAAAGGTGCAAATCTCCTTCGTCTCCACCCAGGAACAGGGATGCGCAAGGTCCAATTCCCCTTCGCCTGCTGCTGCCGCCGCTGCGGTTGCTGCTGCACAATCTCCAAATTCCCTCCTCCCAAGGCTGCCGCTGCCGCGCACGATCCGATTCCCAGGGACGCTGCTGCAATCCCCAATTCCAAGGCGAAGTGCTGCAGCTGGGCTACTTCCCGATCGCGACGCCCAACAGGTTCCCCTTGTGGCTGGCGAGCTCTCCTCCGCATGCAGCAATTCCCGGGGCTGCCCAAGTCAAGAAACCGCTAGCCACAAAATGGTGTCCGTTACTGCAAAGATCACAGCTCCGGCGTCAATGCTCTCTCTCGGTGTGTGTGTGTTTTAATTTCAGCGGGGAGGGGGCGGGCTACGCCGTGAAGCCTCGGCCCTAGGCAGGGCAGTGCGGACCGCGGAGCGGGGGCTCTCCAGGGGCAGGACTGGCGCCGCTGCGGCAGGCGAGGCGGCTGCCGAGGGCTTGGCTTGGCTTGGCTCGGCTCTGCTGCAAAGCGCCGCTGAGAAGCCCGGCTGGCGGAGGGAGCGCGTTGCTGCTGCAGGAGGCTGCTCAGGCTTGTGCGGTAACGGCGGCGGCGGCGGCTTGCTGGAACCTTATGGTGCATTACAGCCCAGGCTCCTCCCATACAGTTCGGCTTTGGCCAACCGCGGTGGCGGCGGCCTGGGGACTCTCCCCCGGCAGCGGGAACGGCTTTTCTGCTGCAATGGAGCTTCCCCGGAGAGGCAAACTCGGAGGAGCCGCGCGAAAGGACCGGCCAGAGGCGGGCAGGCGAGGGGCGCCCGGGGCGAGCCGAGGGAGCTGGCGGCGCGAAGGCAGAGCAGCCCGCCCGGCCACGAGCGATGCGCACGTGGAAGGAGCGCAGGAGGAGGCGAGGGGTCTCTTTCGACTAACGCCATTCCTCCTTTTGGTTTGCAGGGATCTGAAACACGAAAGCCACCTTCCTCGAGCCGGAGCTTTGCAGACCTTTTGGACTACAGCTCCCAGCATTCCGACCATTGACCGCTCTGCATGGGGCTGATGGGAGTTGACGTCCAAAACCCCTGGAGGGCCCCAAGTTGGAAAGGCTGCACTGAACAGTAGAAGAGCCTTGAGCAAAGTGTGGTTCTAAATGCACTTGTGATTCTGGGCACAGCTCTTTTTGAGTCATGCATGCTTTGCCTTTCCCCATCCCTGCAGCAGGAGTTGAGGAGGCCGAACAAGTGTTGCTGACCATAGTAAAGGAAAATGTTTTGCCTTCCCATGTTGACATTTCTCCCTATTTCTTACTTGTATGTGGACATTTTCACATGGCTTGCACAGTTGGAATACTTCAGATGGTTTTCCATTCATTAAATGCAAGAGTTGCATTTGGAACCTTAAGGAGAAATGCATTTTTTAAGTGGCGAGAGCCTATGTATGTTGAGACAGAAGAAGAAAAATCCTTCAACCCCCAGGATGCCCCAGCCAGCCCTGTTGGGGCATGCTGAGAGTAGAAGGGCCTTTTTTTTGTTCAGACATGCATAGAATTGCACACTAAGGCTATGATCCGATACCCACTTAGAATCATAAAAAACTGCCTTCTACTGACTCAAACCATTGGCTCATCTAGCCCAGCATTGCCAACCCTGACTACCAGGATTCCGTTAGGACTGTTTCCAGCTCTACCTGGACATCCTGGGGATTAAATATGAGATCTCCACCTGGAAAACGGGTGCTCTATTACTGAACTACGGCCACTCTTCAAACTCAATAGACCTCCTAAAACTCAAGCCAAAATAAAGGTTCTCTCCCAGTCTGGACCTCATTTTTAAATGGTTGGAAAAAAGCAAAATGGCAGGCACTTTGCCACCTGCTGCCTACAGCAGGTTTGCCCATCTGTGGCGGACTGTAAGACCCAGTAGGAGCACAGTGTTCTGTGCCATATCAGGCTGCTGAACTGGCATGAAGCAAAGACTGTCCTATTTCCAGTTTCTTAAATATCTGTCAATTAGATATCAAACAATAAGATCTCCTATGAAGGAAACAAAGGCTGGGTTCAGGCAACACAATAACTTGTAGGTGAATCCGAGTTCAGACAAAATGATAACCCTTGTTTCAACAAGACGCCACAGTTCAACAACAAGCCAAACTCAAGTGTGAGTGGGTTATCCTGTCCAAATCAGTCATACAGGCAATTAGACGATCATTTAAATAAACCCCCGAAACATCACCTACATGCAAACAGTTGGTTTGTCCATTTTCACCCATCAGGAAAGTAGACAACATGAAGCAGCAGATTTTCCCTACTGCTCACATGGTCTGTATCTTTGTACGTTGTAACATTTCTATCATTTGCTCTTTAATAATTAATTGAATGGCTAATTTAAGAGTTATGCTCTATTTTTGACCAAGACAACATTGTATCGGTTGTAGGGTATGGGTGGGTAATCAAGGTGCACTGAATATATAGGTTGCTACAATTATTTACAATTACATAAGGCCAAGCCTGAACATACACGTTTGTGATGCACCTTGCAGCCAAACAATACTTAGCTGAATTCCCAAATTCATTTCAGTCATTATTTCAGTTGCCTTCTAATGCACCAGCAAGAACAAAGTATGAGACACTGTGCCACTTTTACTTATAGCAGAAACTTTGCCTGCTAGCTTCCCAGTTGATACTGCAGTTACTTCAAAATCAGTTGACATCCTTAAAGTTTTTACTCGGTTCCATATGGATAAATGTGGTTCAATGTGGATAAGTGCAAGGTCTTGCACTTGGGGCATAGGAATAGCTGTCATAAGTACAGGTTAGGTGATAAGTGGCTGGAGAGCAGCACTTGTGAAAGGGACCCCGGGGTGCTGGCTGACTGCAGGCTAAACATGAGTCAGCAGTGTGATGCGGTGGTCAAGAGGGCGAACGCCACCCTTGGTTGCAGAGCCAGAAGTGTGGCTTCTAGATCAAGAGAGGTATTACTACCACTCTACACGACTCTAGTGCGCCCGCAACTGGAGTATTGTGTTCAGTTTTGGGCCCCTCATTACAGAAAGGATATAGCCAGGTTGGAGTCAGTGCAGCGTAGGGCCACAAGGTTGGTAGCCGGTTTGCAGGGGATGGAGTATGAGGCGAGACTGAGGGAACTGGTCTCTTCAGCCTGGAGAAGAGGAGACTCAGAGGGGATATGTTGGCGACATACAGGTATGTGGGGATGTCACATGGAGATGGGTTGAGACCTGTTCTCCCCTGCAGAGGAAGGCAGGAGGCGCTCCAACGGAGCAACGCTCAGGGAGCCAAGGTTTCATTTGGATGCCAGGAGGCACTTCCTGACAGTCAGGACCCCGAGGGTGTGGAATGGGCCTCCACGGGAGGTCGTTGAGGCCCCATCGGTGCGGGTGTTCAAGGATAGGCTGGACGTCCACATGGTGGGCATGTCGTGAGCAGAGCCGGCTAGTGCCGGAGGTCAGACTAGATGGCCTGGGAGACCCCTTCTGACTCTCTCTGTTTCTATGTTTCTATATGCAGTAAACCTGTAGACTTATTCCCCTGGGCATAAGCCCCACTGAATTTAATGGAACTTACTTCTGAATGACATGTATAGGACTACAGTGTCAATTTGTTTTTAATGTTCAAGTTCTCATCCCAAGCAGCACTGGGCAGAAACTCAGTCCAAGTTGAAAGTACAAGTTGAGATGTTGGTTATTTAACACATCCTAAATGTTATACATTAAAAATCCTGAAACCACTCTAACTGTATGTGCTTCAGGGTCACATATAGTTGGGAAGACATGACACAGCCACTATTCAAGTCTGACACAGAAATCGGTGAAGCATTCCTGATTTTCTTGAAGCACATGGAAGCAAGCTGAAGGCCCTGCTGGGTCAGACCAGGGGCCATCTAGTCCAGCATTCTGTTCACACAGTGACCAACAAGCTGCTCATGGGGAAACCACAAGGGCACGGGTGCAACAGCACCCCCCCTCCATGTTCCTCAGCAACTGCTGCACACAGACTTACTTCTAATACTGGAGGTACCACATTTTGGCATTCATGAAGTTTTAGGTTTTCTTTCTGGCAGTTAAATGTGGAATGATTTGGAAAGACCTCAGACAAAAGTTTGAAGATCTATTATCAGGTGGAGTAGATTACTACCTCTTGCAACTTCACACTTTATTTGAGATACAGCTGTGGTTCAAGCTATTACAACACACAACTCTACTAAAATGTCACCTTTGCAGCTTACAAAGTTATCTTAGTAGTAGGCTGTTACTTTCTTAACAGTGCAAATAATTTTGAAGAGCCTCAGAATGGATCCCTTTTCTTCCCTAAAATATTATACAGCTCATACTCCAATATTCCAGCACTTGGTTTCCTAATACCCAGGAAACTGTGAGAAATTGATCTGTCTGCCATTCTGCTTTTAAGAAGGATGGTGCTATTGTGATTTCTTTTCACTGTGCAAATACTGGAAGGTGAAAACAAGGCCTAGGAACAGCGTGGGAGTCCTGCTTTTCCAGCCACCACAAGGCAGCAGGAGGGGCAGAATAGGAAAACTGACATGGGCGGTGGCAGGCACAGAGAGCCCTTCTAGCTAGACTTTATTTTAGTGCTTGAAAGTAGGGAGCTGTCCCAAGAAACCTTGCAATGGATGGTGCTGAAATCCATTAAGAATAAAGGCGCTCTGGCCGGGCTACGTGCTACAGGGTTTGGGAACCTGCGGCGTGTCCAAGTGTTGAATGGCAAGCTTCAACAACCCCTGTCACAGGGTATTTGGACTGTAGCTGATGGGAGTAGGAGAACAACATCTGGAGGGCCACCAGTCCCTTAATTCTGCCATACCGGGTTGCCCAAGTGCCGCAGTGCATCAGGGCTACCCTCTGACATCTATTGCCAGAAACAATGGGGAGCACAA